CTAAAAATGAAAAGTTTTTATCGTTTTTGTTATTGTAAAAAACAAATAGACATCAGTTTTTTATGTGTCTGTCCTTTTATTGACGATAAATTTCGCCATCGCATTGTCAAAGTAGTATGCGGATCCACTCGGCTACGCCTCGCGACTGACCGACTGACTGGCGATAGAGTGATAGAGAGGATGAACGGTGGGTGGTTGAGTGGATGGTTGATTGCTAGCAAACAATAACCTACTGACAGATGTATGGCGGCATGCGGTAATGATAGAGTGAACATTAAAGTGTCTGAGGTATCTACCTGCCATCATTGCGGCAGCAAAAAGGCTTGCTGCACCGTTATGTCCGTTTTCGTCAGCAAGGTTTAATTTCAAATGGGCATAAGCAGAAAAATAGATGCCAGAAAATGGAATGTCACGCAAGAAACAGGCTCGTGCACCCTGAAAGTAATATCAAATGTAAACTCTTAATTATAATGGAGAGAACCTCTGGATTGTTTTAAGTCAGGCCACAGGGCGTGACGGGTTGTGCGTAGGAAAGAAAACAGTGGACGCGCAGAGTAATCTTCGAATCATTTCAATGAGGACCAACGAGTCGAGGACCCTCAGTGTGAGAGTAAAGTGCATTACCAGAACACTATATTTGATTGCTGCTGGGGAAAAACATGAAACATGACTGAAAACATTAAAAATTTTCGCTTTTCTCGCGTGAAAGTTCTACAAATTACTTGAAATCTTTTGTTGCGCTAGAACAGAGTCCAACACAAGGAAATTCCATGAATGATTAACCAATTGTACCTTGTAGAGTCCAGTGACGCCCAGTTCTTTCACACAAGCCAAGGCAGTCACTTTCTTTCCAGGCTGTTCTCCAGCTACTTGTAAGCGAATCTTAACGATCTCAAGAGGATTGGTAAAGAGTACCTGAGCTGCTCCACCCTGCGAAACACAGACAAGAATGAGGGTGTTAGTGATGCTTTTATTTTTAGGCTGCAGCAACATGACTCAAAATCCCTGAGACATAAATACAAAGAAACAACCACCATGTTAGTTAATCTAACAAGAGAAGCTAACGAGGAATGCTTTGTTATCATCAACCAGCATGGTGGCTATGACGTTACATGCAAGGTATGTTGGTGCTCATGTAGAGTGATCTCGAAGGTACTACGTCCCAGCAATTTCATTGAATGACGGAAAATTTCACCGACTCCGTACTTAATACTTACACATCCACCAGCAATGATCTCATATGGAAGACTTATAAAACCATCATTATCGCTGAAGAATCCTCGAACCATGTCATTAGTCTACAAGAAAAATATTTATGTTAACAGAGACATCAATAAATACGATAAAAAATATGAAGAAAAACAAACTAATCAAAGATCTTGTAGGTAAACTTTTTATTAGAAAAACTAAATGAATACATTAATTAATAGAAAATACTAATTTAAATATCTCGTAGGTAAACCTTTTATTAAAAAAACTAGCGATAGAAACAAGCGGAAATTCGATGTTAAAACAACACATTTAGAATACAATATCAACATTTAGTTTAAGCTTGAAAATGATCTTTATTTATAGGAAACGTCATTCGTGTGGCTCTTTTCCATCGCTAGTTTTTAGAATAAAACCAAAATAGTCGTTTTGTTGTTTTGTTCAAATACACGTTTAAAGCATTCTGCACTTTGTATTCTGAACTTTGCACTTCAAATTTCTTTCCAGTTTTGAGGTCTGGCAGGTCAAACTACTGTAGAAGGGGCAGGTTCTTAGATTCCTTCCCAATCTCGTACATAGAGCTCACGTTCCTCTCGGTACTGACCAAGAGAAACTTGGGCTCTGGGTACGAGATTGATTCCCTCTAATCAAAGCAGTGTCCAAATAAGTTTCTTTGGATTGGGGCTGGGGTTTACTTACCGTTAGTTTGATGGCTTTTTCGGGTGAAACTCCTACGAGCTGAGGAAGAAGACCTATGATTTGGAACACAAGATAACTAAAGTTAAAAATTGGTGTAACATGGCGCGTTCAAAAACACAAATCGATGACAACAATGTTTTGATTTTTGAATGTCATTCAAAAACCTGCAACGTGTTGCCGCAACAAAATATCGTTAAAAATCGTAACCGCACGCCATGTTACACGAGAACAATTTTTCGAGCAACAATTTTTACGCGAAACAAAAATTGGTTGGGAATCGTCTCGTGTAACACTACCTTAATACTTCAAAACTGATCGGTTCAACACCCCCAAATTTGGTAAAAAATACGTTAAAAAGGCCAGTCTTCCAAAGAGAAAATGTTTTATTCTTTTGGTCTTCCCGATTAGCAAAGTGCTTGCGTCAAGCTAGAAGACTCGACACTACATTAAAGTTTATTATTTTGCTATTATATAACCGATTTGCAAGGATACAAGAAAAATCCTTTGTAAGACCCAAGTGGGTTTGAGGCTAGAGAAAGGAGATATCAGGCCATATACTTGATGCCCTTAAACCTGGGAATTGTTTTTACCTCTATAGAGTCCTCGTATTCCCTCATTCCTGATCACTTTAATTAAACAATCAAAGCTGTTTTTGTACAGTTTTTCCGCATCCAGAACAGCTCGTTGATTCTGCATTCGCGTCTTGACCAGATCGATTGGATACACGGCGGTAGCACCCGTGGCTGCAAGATAAACAGAAAGAATATGTTAAAGATTGGTAAAAAAAAAGGTGAGATGGGTCGTGGAAGGAGGTGAGAGGGGTAGGAAGGTTATGAAAAAGGGTCAAAAAAGGCAGTAAAATGTTGTCATAGGGGAATTCGATAAAAAATGGAACGTAGGATTTTGGTGTTGCAGGTTCACCACACAGACAAATGCCAAATTTTAATTTTTTTGGAGATTATTTATAGAGATTATTAGTTATTTCCATACTCTTAAGGGCATTGCTGGGCAAAAAAGAGGTAAATTGACATCATTCCCGAGAGCTGCCCTTGTGTCAGAACCCAGGCTACTATGGTTAAAACCTTTTCTTGGTACCCTGAAACACTCCCTTGGTTGACAAGGAAAAGATTTGTAACACTAACCTCCAGCTATTGAGCCCAGACCAAATCTATATACATTATGTAGTACACTCCAGATAAATGACACTTGCTTTTCATCTGGTTCCATCAACATCTAACAATAAAATAGCTTTTCCATTTAGTATTCTATACCGATTTTTATTTTCTAAAATATATTTAAATTAAGTTTAAAAATCCCTGTAAATAAGAGAAAATAAGTCTTGTAAATTGTAAATAATATTGTCAGGTTTATTTTGTTTCGTTTTGTTTTCTGTTCTGTGGCGGATTTAGGGGGAGTTCATTGGCTGCAAATGAACCCCCCCCCACCGGCTGGTACCTTGGATTTTTTATATTTTTTTAAATAAATGAATAAAAGTATGATAGGTCCGCCTTTTGAAAATTAGCACCTTCGCCCACAATAATCGAGCCTGGACTGGTGGATAGGTTATCCTTATCAGGAGCGCCCCTAGGCCAGTGATGTGCCTYATGGGWAAAATGATGATGCAAAAGAACGTTATTGTTGTGCCGAGATTTGCAAAAATGAACCCCCCTCTTAAAGTCCTGAGTCCGCCACTGTTGTTAAATAAATATTGTGTAGTTCCGGAAATTATCCATACCCCCACTCCCCCCCTCCCCTCACGGAGGAATTTTTTGAGACCCCTCCTCCCCTTACTCTTAGAAATTCCAATTTTCTTCCATACAAACTTTGTAATTTTTTTCTTTCCCCCCCCCCCCCCCAGAAATTCCAAATTCCTCTGTGAGAGGGGGGAGGGGGTATGTGTTGGGGCCACTATCTCAACAGTATAGAATTCCTGTTTTCCCCCCGTTTTGTGTAATGTGAGTCCGCTAACCAGTTAATGTCGCTGTCGCGTCACGTCGTGTGCACGTTGTCATTTGTAGTGTTAGTGTAATGTGATCATCAGCTTCATGTGTTATGTTCTCGTGCARTGTGTTCATCAATTGGTAAGTTCTTTGCCATTGCTTGCTTGCAGTATTGTACCATCGTAATGTAATGCTCTTTGTTTTAGGATTTTATTGTGTATCGGATACCTGTGAAACCTTTTGATGAATAAATCAAATTCAGTACATATGAAGTTGAGACGTGTGTGTTTAACCCTACAGTATGGATAATTTCTGGAACTACATACTAAAAGAAAGGTTTTTCATTTAGTCTTGTAAATCATAGGTCTTGTAAACTGATAAGTTTATTTTGTTTTGTTTTCCGTTACTAAAATATTGTGTAGTTCTGGAAATTATCCATACTCCCAACACCCACGTAGGAATTTTTTTGAGACCCCTCCTCTCCTTACTCCCAGAAATTCCAATTTTCTTCCATACAAACTTTGTAATTTTGTTCTTTATCTGTCCCCCCCTAGAAATTCCAAATTCCTCTGTGGGGGGTATGGATAATTTCTGGAACTAAACATCAAAAGAAAGGCTTTTCATTTAGTCTTGTAAAGCATTCAGCAAGAGTTAATCTAGAAAAAGTATGCAAACTGACTTACCTCTTCATCATGTCTTTCAGTTGAGAATACTTTAAAAACATCGTGCTTTGGCAGGATGTGATGAATGTCTGAGATTGTTATTCGACTGTTGAGAAAAAAGTTTATCATTTCAGATCCTTTAAAACAATTAATATATTCCTCTTACATACTGGCTGTAAGTACATGCTACCGTTTTTAGCAAATGCAATGTTTTGTTACCTTTCCAAAAATAAATAAAAAAAATGGGCACACACAAGTAGTTTCCATGCACAGAACTTAGACAAAAATGATTAGGAGCTGCTTATGTTTTCGGATTAGAGCAACAGACCTTCCAAGTGGGGTAATCCACAACCGGCAGAACGAAGACTGGGAGTGGATGAACAAACAATGAATGGTGAGATAAAACAAAGAACGCAGCTCACATGTAGAACAATACACATTGTTCACTATAATCCATGCTTTCTTTGTTTTTGTTAATTTATCCAATCCCAGGTTTCGTTCTACCAGTGGACACCGACCCTTCCAAGTGGTGCAATGTTTTCCCATTATAGACCATGTGTCATTCTCTTGAGGATAATATTCTTTATTTGATTTATATTTATATTCTTGTGTTAATGAGATGAGTGTGCAACCAAGTTGAAAACTGGTTGATAACATACTGGTTGAAGATTTATTCGAGTTTGTTGCGTTACGTTTGTACTAGCCATATTTGGAATGATGATGTAAGTGATCACGCAACAGTATTCGTAATTTGAAAAATAAATCAGTTCTGCTCCAGATTTTGTGCTGTTTAGTTTTTTTTTTTTTTTTGTTTAGTCCAAGTTTTAGTTTTAGTTTCACTTATTTTCCTGTGACCTATCTTGGAAAAGACCTGCAATGAGTTTCATCATCTTTGCCGTTCAACATCCACTTGGTCACAAGTGAAAGAGGTGAAAAAAAACAACTGAGTTCCAGATGGGATTTTTTTTACCTTTCATAATCTAGATCAGGGAGGCTCTAACCACTGAGTCATTCATGACCTAGTATAGGCCAATCTTTGTTTCCGTTTTGTCCTCATTAGCATAAAAAAATTTCAAGCTACAAGCAAACTGACTCAAGAAATCAAAAGAGAATGTCTTATTTAGTAACTACTGAAAATTTGAGA